CCCCCAATCGATATCCACTCGCAACGGCCCTGACAGTATGTAGAGTTTAATGGTACTGCTTCTATGTGTAAAGAAGTTACATGTGGAGTTCCTCAAGGGTCAATCCTCGGTCCGTTGTTGTTTCTTATCTATATTAATGATATTTGCAAAACGACCGACTATGGTGAATTTATTCTATTTGCTGATGATACTCATTTGTTTTATTCTCATCAAAATATATCTACTTTGACGATTGTGATAAATACTGTGAATTATGTAAGATTTCAGATTGGTTACAATCTAATAAGCTCTCTTTGAATATAAAGAAATCAAACTAAAAAAGTTTGTTTTCTTGGTGTTATTTTGGACGAGAATTTAACATGGAAAGCTCATGTATCTTATATTGAACGTAAAATTTCAAAATCAATTGGAATTATCTATAGGTCAAGTTTTTATTTATTCAAATCTGCCTTGCGGATTTTATATTTTGCATTAGTATATCCGTATCTTCAATATTGCGTTACGATTTGGTGTTCAACATATACAAGTAATCTTAATCGTATTGTACTGTTACAAAAACGTGCAGTACGAATTGTGGACAAACAATTTTTCGGTGCTCATACCTCTCCTATTTTTTACAAACACAAATACTGAAATTTGAAGATATCTATTTTACTTCAATAGACCTTTCCCCTTATAACCAAAATTTTGATCTAGGCAAGTCTAGACAAATATTTCATCACAGCTTGAAAGAGCATCACAAAATTAGTAATATTCCAAAGTTTCGTTGCGAAATGTTGTAAAATGAGGAAAATAGAGCCTTGCGAAGTTTGCAATTTTCAGTCATTTTGCATTACAAACGGGAAATTGCAGCCCCAACACCCGAATCGTATGTCAATTTCCCGTTTGTAATACAAAATGACTGAAAAACGGCAAACTTTGCAAGGCTATATTATCCGCATTTTACAAGATTTTGCAACGAAACTTTGGAATATTACTAATTTTCTGATGCTCTTTGAAGCTGTGATGAAATTTTTGTCTAGATCGAAATTTTAGTTATAAGGGGAAAGGTCCATTGGGTAAATGTATGTATCTATACCAACAAAACTTACCTCCTGATTGTTTTGAAGGTTTATTTTTTATGTTAGCAGATTCATAATTATAATACACGAAATGCTAATTATAAAACTTTTTATGCCCTCCAATGTAGTACAAATATTCGTCAATTTTCGGTCAATTATCAGGTCCTAAATTCTTTAATACGTTGAATCCCGATATACGTAACTCTTCATCTGTATTTAGATTTCAGTATATGTTAAAATTGTTTCTCTTTTTTCACTACATACAATCTCAATAATTTACTTATTTCCAATACGTCTCGTGATGCTATTTTGTAACATTTGTATTTAATATAACATAACATGAGGTAGCCCAAATTTCTATAAGCCTTTTGGTTTCTATTTGGGCTTCCTCACCACTTTTGTTCAAAATTATTGTGTGTTTTTTTTCTATCAACTTACATATCTTTCTAATAACATACTATATACATATATATATACATTGAATAATTCTACAAATTATTTTGTTCTCTGGATTCTAATTTAAATGTTTTGAGCTTTCGACTCGGTACTTCGAGCCCTCATCAGAAAGTTGGAATGTTTGAATTTTCGCGCTGTTCTCGTTCTTGAAGCCTTTGGGAACGTCTGATTGGTTTATCACGGATTTCGGCTGATGGATTGTTATTGGTTGCTATGGGGTGCGGGTGATTGCAATCATCGTGAGTTGATATTGAGACGGAAGTTGCGGGTGGGTTAACGGTTAATGAAGGCGAAACAGGACTTTTGCGTGAGTGTTTTAGTTGTAAGTATATTACAGGAATGTCAATACGGCGGTTAAATGTTATTTTATCTATACTATGCCACGCTTCTTTAAACTCACGGGCATGTTTCGTAGTAGCTTGTCTTAGGCATCTCGTTTGAGACCAGTCAAATTTGTGTCCGTTATCGTCTGCGTGCATGGCTGGGAGTGAATTATGGTCATGTCTGTTAATGGCGTTTTGAGGTTCGGTTAATCTAGTCTGAATTTTCTAAGACGTTTGTCCAATGTACTTGTCGGGGAAGTTTTTGCAAGTAAACATGCAAATGGCGTTATGTTTTTCGGTTACGTTTGTTTTGTCTTTATGATTAGTGAACTTGGATCTAAGTTTGCATGTTGGTTTGTGTGCAATGTCGATGTTGAACGGTCTGAGAAGTCTAGCTGTCATTTCCGACGTGGTGTTTATATAAGGAAGTGTGATCCTCTTTCTTGTTTGGTTTGGTTGGTCTGTGTTAATTAGTTTGTTTCCTATGTGATAGTACTTTGTTGACAAAGTTCAAGGGGTAGCCATTTTGTGAAAAGTAGTAGAGTATAAGTATTTGCGTTCGTCTCGTTTAGATTCCTCAGTGCTGCAATGCGTGTCAATTCTGTTGAAATGTGTTTTTATGCAACTGATTTTGTGCTGTGTGGGGTGGTTGCTATTGTAATTTAATATTTGGTCTGTGTGCGTTTTCTTGCGATATACTTGTGTGTTTAAGGTGCCGTCAGTGGCGGCGCCAGCCTTTTAAAAGTGGGGGGGAGGATTTTCGAGCGGTGAAAGTGCGAGACACTTCTAGGGGGGTCCGAGGGCATGCCCACCGGAAAATTTTTGAAATCCAGAGTCCCTGAAATACGATTTCCTTCATTTTCAGGGTAGGATTATTCAGAATTTCGAAGATTATAAAGTAAACAAAACACACAATTTTTTCATGGCTACGTATATATAAGACCTACAAATGTAGTATTACATCATAGTCAATAGAATAAGGTTATGGAAAAATACACACATGACGATGAACCGACCATTTTTTTGCATAAACCAAGACGAAAACATAGATAGGTCAATTATGTTTCTTAACCTTCTTATTCTATTGACTACGATTACATTGACTGACAGCTGCCTAAAAGAATTACTACTTCCAGGAAAATTGAAGTCAACATAATTTTATATTTAAATACAAATGGAAATAACTGTTAGGTAGAATAATAATGGCTAATCTATGTTATCGTAGATCTGTTTACATGAGAAGCTTACGATGTCAGTCAAAAATCTCCCCGATGTTCAAAAAAGTTAGGTCCTATTCTAAGGTTCTATTTGCCTCCCTCGCACACAATTTCACTTGATGGATCTCTTCCTTCAAACATTTTTCTCTTTCAGTTGTGTAGTGATGCGTTCCAAGAAGCTAATGACCATATGTTGCGCGAACGGTGCATTAATTAACATATCTCCCTCGCATCTCAGCAGCAGGACCAAATTTCCGCATCACACATTACCCCTTGCACTTAATTTGGGTAATATATGAACCCGTTATGCTGGGTTTCCTTCGGTGGTCGTAATCAGTGCCTGCAATATGCTAATGGTAAATACCGCATATATGAAACGTTCTTTTGTCAAAAGTAAAGCGATGATCTTTTAATACTGGTCTTTATTCACACAATAAAGACTGAATTTATTAAGTTAAATCTAAATAACTGGACTGATTTCACAAACGCCCCCCCCCCCCCTTTTTTCTCCCCGGATTTGGACAAATTAGAAAATTGACTTTGAAGAGAACTGGGGGGACGTGTCCTCCCCAGTCCTCCCCGTGCGCCGCCACTGGGTGCCGTTGTCAGTTCTTGTTATTAATACGTCAAAAAATGCGATTTTATTGTCGTGCTCTTCCTCTTTAGTAAACTTGATGTTTTTAGTGGTGTTGTTGATCGTTTGTAAGATGTCGTCCGTTTTGTCTTTTTTAACAGTAGCGAATACATCATCAACATACCTGTCCCATGTTTTGATGTCATTGTTATTTGTCACACCTTTATTTTCCAGGTCTTGAATCACTGCTTCAGCAAGGAAACTGGAAAGAGGTGACCCCATTGGAGTGCCGGAGATTTGTCTGTAGTAATTGTTTTGAAAGCAGAATTCAGTTGAAAGACATAGGTCAAGTAAATCGAGAATATCTTGTATATTAAGTTGTGTGTGTGATTGCCATGAGGTATTGTTAGTAAGAAGTTTTCTGGTTATTTGTCTTGCTGTTTCAAGAGGAATGGAAGTGAATAAGGAAACGACGTCAAAGGAAATCATGATTTCATCAGGTTCAACTCTGAGATCTTTCATTTTCGACAGAAAGGCTTTGGCATTATTGACAGAAAGAGGTCATGACTTAATCAGAGGTTTGAGAATGTCAGAGAGATACTTCGATAGGTTGTATGTAGGGGATCCAGGAAGGGAAACAATTGGTCGGAGAGGGTTATTCTCTTTATGTATTTTTGGAAGTCCATAGAATTTAGCAATAGTTGCGTCGTTGGGTCTGACTCGATCATAAATTTGTTTGCTTAGTTTGTCTTGGTCCTTGAGGGTTTTAAGTTTCGTGTTAATTCGATTCACTGTAGTTTTACTTGGGTCGGTGTCAAGTGGCTGATAAGTGTTAGTGTCAGTTAATGAGTGCTTTAGCTTTATTAGTGTAATCTGATTTGTCCATGACAACAGTCATGCATCCTTTGTCTGCGGGTAGAATAATAACATCATCATCGTTCTTAAGGTCTTTCAATGCTTTGCGTTCTTGTTTGGTGAGGTCGACAGGATGTTTTGAGTGTAAAAGGTTAGTTGTTACTTGATGGCGAATGTTGTTTTTGGCGTCATCTGTTAGTTCAGTACCCTTCAAAGCTGATTCGAGGTCGGCGATAAAATCTAGTTTCTTCGCGTCAGCTGCGTTGTAATTCAATCCTTTGGCTAGTACTTGTTTCTGTTGATCAGTGAGTTGCTTGTGGGAGATATTTTTAACCCATGCGTTGTTATGGTTACGTTGGTATTATCTGGAATTGTTGAGTTTTCGTTGTAATTTTGCACGTCTTTTTTATTGATATTCCTGTACTATACTTCTAATGGTATTTTCTAATGAATTTCCGTCTTCTGTGTTAGTTATGGCAAAAATGGCGCTGCGGTGATCCTTAATTCTTCGTTGATATGTACGCAAACGATTGTGTGTTTCTGTTATTAATACATTTAACATGCGTCGCAGTGGCCTGAGCAGTGCGTATAGCTAAATTGCTTTTAACCGGTGGTTGGTAGTTAATGCTGTTAGGTAGGACGTTTAGACGTTTGCAGTTGTGAAGAAAGTGGAGTTGTTCAAAGGTCGACGATTTCTTTCGTGCGAATAATTCCCATTTCCTTGCGTGTCTGGGAGTAGCTATCCCATATATATATATATATATATATATATATATATATATATATATATATATATATATATATATATATATATATATATATATATATATATATATATATATATATATATATATATTAATAGAGTTGAAGATTTGTAATCCAGGCATTAATGACACTAACACTTATCAGCCACTTGACACCGACCAAAGTAAAACTACAGTCAATCGAATTAACACGAAACTTAAAACCCTCAAGGACCAAGACAAACTAAGCAAACAAATTTATGATCGAGTCAGACCCAACGACGCAACTATTGCTAAATTCTATGGACTTCCAAAAATACATAAAGAGAATAAGCCTCTCCGACCAATTGTTTCCCTTCCTGGATCCCCTACATACAACCTATCGAAGTATCTCTCTGAAATTCTCAAACCTCTGATTAAGTCATCACCTCATTCTGTGAATAATGCCAAAGCCTTTCTGTCGAAAATGAAAGATCTCAGAGTTGAACCTGATGAAATCATGATTTCCTTTGACGTCGTTTCCTTATTCACTTCCATTCCTCTTGACACAGCAAGACAAATAACCAGAAAACTTCTTACTAACAATACCTCATGGCAATCACACACACAACTCAATATACAAGACATTCTCGATTTACTTGACCTATGTCTTTCAACTGAATTCTGCTTTCAAAACAATTACTACAGACAAATCTCCGGCACTCCAATGGGGTCACCTCTTTCCAGTTTCCTTGCTGAAGCAGTGATGCAAGACCTGGAAAATAAAGCTGTGACAAATAACAATGACATCAAAACATGGGACAGGTATGTTGATGATGTATTCGCTACTGTTAAAAAAGACAAAACGGACGACATCTTACAAACGATCAACAACACCACTAAAAACATCAAGTTTACTAAAGAGGAAGAACACGACAATAAAATCGCATTTTTGGACGTATTAATAACAAGAACTGACAACGGCACCTTAAACACACAAGTATATCGCAAGAAAACGCACACAGACCAAATATTAAATTACAATAGCAACCACCCCACACAGCACAAAATCAGTTGCATAAAAACACTTTTCAACAGAATTGACACGCATTGCAGCACTGAGGAATCTAAACGAGACGAACGCAAATACTTATACTCTACTTTTCACAAAAATGACTACCCCTTGGACTTTGTCAACAAAGTACTATCACATAGGAAACAAACTAACACAGACCAACCAAACCAAACAAGAAAGAGGATCACACTTCCTTATATAAACACCACGTCGGAAATGACAGCTAGACTTCTCAGACCGTTCAACATCGACATTGCACACAAACCAACATGCAAACTTAGATCCAAGTTCACTAATCATAAAGACAAAACAAACGTAACCGAAAAACATAACGCCATTTACATGTTTACTTGCAAAAACTGCCCCGACAAGTACATTGGACAAACGTCTAAGAAAATTCAGACAAGATTAACCGAACATCAAAACGCCATTAACAGACATGACCATAATTCACTCCCAGCCAAGCACGCAGACGATAACGGACACAAATTTGACTGGTCTCAAACGAGATGCCTAGGACAAGCTACTACGAAACATGCCCGTGAGTTTAAAGAAGCGTGGCATAGTATAGATAAACTAACATTTAACCGCCATATTGACATTCCTGTAATATACTTACAACTAAAACACTCACACAAAAGTCCTGTTTCGCCTTCATTAACCTTTAACCCACCCGCAACTTCCTTCTCAATATCAACTCACGATGATTGCAATCACCCGCACTCCATGGCAACCAATAACAATCCATCAGCCGAAATCCGTGATCAACCAATCAGACGTTCCCAAAGGCTTCAAGAACGAGAACAGCGCGAAAATTCAAACATTCCAACTTTCTGATGAAGGCTCGAAGTACCGAGTCGAAAGCTCAAAGCATTTAAATTAGAATCCAGAGAACAAAATAATTTGTAGAATTATTCAATTAATAAAATGCCTGGATTACAAATCTTCAACTCTATATATATATATATATATATATATATATATATATATATATATATATATATATATATATATATATATATATATATATATATATATATATATATATATATATATATATGTATATATTTAAAATACTCATTAATAAATCATAAACCTTGTGGCAAATCATGTCAGCCATAATATGTCACGTGGAGTGACTTTATATCTGATAAAACACATGTGGAATTATATAATTGTTCATCTTAATTAGCATGATTGTACTATGTTCATCCTAATTAGTATTCTTTTGTAGTCATATTTTAAGCTATTTAAAACACGAGTAGGAGTGTTTTATCAGATATATAACGCTCCGCTGCGCCTCGCGTTATATATCTGATAAAACACTCCTACTCGTGTTTTAAATAGTACATCATATATATATATATATATATATATGGGCCTTCATCAGTGTAGTGCTGATGAGCAGGATGAAAGTAACTGCTATTTACAGTTACCTTTGATGCCTCACGATTGTGGGACATCAAAACCATGCTAGAGCGCTCAAACTGTAAGCAGTGAGCGTGCGCAATGCGTAAGCGGCATGGCTCATCCTGTAGAGCGCTCAATATATATATATATATATATATATATATATATATATATATATATATATATATATATATATATATATATTACAGAGTTTCGTCACGTAATTTTGGTTACCGTGTGAGGCAAAGAAGGCGTACAGAAACGCGAGGTGTCAATTATAACAATCTAACCCGTATTAGATGCACAAATAATTATAATGAAAAGAACAAAAAACAAAATAAAGCTATACTCCCGAGAATTTGCTGCTTGAACGCACGCTCAATTAATGGAAAGGTTGATGAACTTGCAGCATATATGTCCGTCAACAAAGTTCATATAGCCGCAATTACGGAGTCTTGGTTGACTGATGAGACAGGGGACGATCAAATATCGATTGGTGGTTATGTAATTCATCGTAAGGACCGGACACATGGCTGTGGGGGTGGGGTTTGCGTTTATGTGTCTCAGCAGATATCCATTACGCGATACTTGGAACTAGAAGATTTAAATCTAGAGTGTATGTGGTTGTGGGCTTGACCACCACGCCTACCGAGACCGCTATCTGCAATCGCAGTATGTGTAGTGTATAATCCACCGGACAAAAGTGTGCAAGAACAGAGGGAACTTTGCGATTACCTTGTGTCCTCTATTGATACTATACGCTCTAAATACCCTGATTGTGGCATAGTCGTTTTAGGCGATTTTAATCGTCTCAATATACAGGATTTAGTTACAAGTCACAACCTTAAGCAAGTCGTCACGCGTCCGACTAGACAAGATTCAATCTTAGACTATATTATTACGAACTTGAAATCCTTTTACAAAACACCGGATATTTCTGCTCCACTTGGAACATCGGACCATAACGTAATCATGTGGATCCCAAAAGACATTTTTAAGGATAATAATAATACGTGTACAAAGCGCACTGTGCGTCGGTATCCTCAGTCAGGTTTGAATGGTTTTGGTTTATGGTCAACCAGGAATAAATGGTTTAGTGGACTTGGACTCAATCCATCGTCGGATGAGTTAGCGTCATCTTTTACCAATGATCTGAACACTGCATTCGATCATTTTTTCCAGTGAACACAATCAAATTTCATCCCACGGACAAACCATGGATTACTGGGCACATAAAGCAACTTATTAAAGAACGCCAACGTGCTTTCCACACTGGCGACGCGCAATTGTGGCGCCAATACAGACGGAAGGTCCAGATAGAGATTAAAACCAGGAAAAATAATTTCTATACCCAAAAAATCCATAACTTGCGAAAAGACGATGTCCGTCAATGGTGGCACACTATTAACACAATGTCAGGTAGAGCGAAAAGTCAACCTCAGTTTACAATTGAGCGTGACGGACAGTTATTATCGGAAGGTGAACTGGCAGAGTCTCTAAATGATTATTTCGTAAGTGTAGCAAGTGATATCCCACCACTTGATATTTCAGGCCTTCCAACATTCTTACCAGCTGCGGTGCCGCCTCCTACAATTCATCCTCATGAGGTTTGTAGTAAGCTCTTAAAACTTCAGGCTAATAAGGCTATGGGCCCGGACAGTATTCCATCACGAATTTTAAAAGAGTTCGCCTACGAACTTGCTGAGCCAGTTACATCAATATTTAATACATCTTTGTCCTCTGGACTAGTACCTGTTTTATGGAAAGATTCTACCATCATACCCATTCCTAAAGCGAAACAAACCCAGGTTGAGAGCGATACTCGCCCCATCGCACTTACCCCTGTGTTATCGAAAGTACTCGAAGACTTTGTGGTTAGTTGGATGGTTGAGGACATAGGTGGACAAATCGATAATCGTCAGTATGGCAGCCTGAAGGGAACATCTACCACCCTTTGCCTTCTAGATCTTATCCACAACTGGCTTTCTAAAATGGACAACCCAGGTCATTACCTTAGAGCTTGCTTTCTGGACTTTAGCAAAGCTTTCGATAGAATAGACCACAATATTGTTATAACAAAATTGATCGATTTGGGAGTGCGCCGTTCAATAATCCCTTGGTTTTGTAGCTTCCTTTCAAATCGCCGCCAGTGTGTTAAGCTGGGACAGTGCGTGTCCCGATGGCTTTCAACTAGTGCTGGGGTCCCACAGGGTACCAAATTGGGTCCAATCCTTTTTGTCATAATGATTAATGATTTGAAAATAGTATCCCCGCGTTCCAGTAATTGGAAGTACGTAGACGACGTGACGATATCTGAGATTGTTCCAACAAGGGAGGTATCTATACTACAAAACGAATTGGACGCAATTGGTAATTGGACAAGTACCAATAATATGAAATTGAACCCCAAAAAGTGTAAAGAGATGATTGTCTCCTTTCGACGAGATATTGAGCAGCCACCACCCACCTTAGTTGTTGAAACCATTAGTCTTGAAAGAATAGAATCCCACAAAGTATTAGGTTTAACGATCCAGAATAATCTGAAGTGGGATTTGCATATCAGTGAGATAGTAACCAAAGCATCAAAAAGACTACACATCTTACGAGTTCTCAAGCGCAGTGGAGTTTCACCGTTTCATTTACTACGAGTACATTTTGCACTTATTAGATCCCTGCTTGAGTACTGCTGTCCGGTATGGCATTCATCATTGACCATTAACTTGTCAGATAAAATTGAACGGGTCCAGAAGCGCACAATGCGAATAATCTACCCAACATTAAGCTATGACGCTGCTCTGGACCAAGCTAAATGTTCGACATTACGCGCAAGACGTGATGGTTTGTGCATAAAAACTTTTGACAAAATCAGACAGCCTGATTCACGCCTTAATCATTTAATACCACCTTCTCGGGCCAATGGACACAATTGTAATTTAAGGTACGGAAATAGATTAACACTGTTTCCTTGTAAGACGGAGCGCTTTAAGAAAAGCTTTTTCCTACTATGTGTATTCAATCACATAATTTATAAATTTTGTAAATTTTGTAAATTTAAAAGTTCTTTCGATATTAATTCATAGATCAGTAAACTATTGTTGTAATATAATGCCAGAAACACAAGGTACTTTTTAATACTTTTAACTAAAGTTTGTAAATAATTTCGCAATTCGCTTTCATCGAGCGCGACGATTTTATAATAAACCATTAATAATAATAATACTTCGAAGCCCGGACCGGACTTGGACTCGGACCAGGACTTGGAGTCAAAGAAAACCCGGACCCGGACTTGAAAAAAATCCGGACTCATCTTTGAGAAAACCCTGACTTGACGGCTAAAACCTCGGACTCGAAATAAAAAACGGATTCAAAACAAGGACTCTGTGTACGAGAACGGAAAGGTTTTTTGCAAAGGATTACTGTCGTTCCAATTGAAGTGTTCCTCAAATATTGATTCAATACATTACCTCGGGCTGACCAATTCATTTGATCAAGTTCCTCTAGATATTCATACACTTGTAAACTTCCTGCTGAATAGTTTGAATACACGAATCACCTTTGTTGTTTGCGCAACTAACCAATCATAAATAGAAAGGAAGTGGCCAGAAATGATCAAATACTTGGAATTGGCTCTTTCACAGGAAGTGTATGAATATCTCGAGGAACTTGATGAAATGAATTGGTCAGCCCGAGGTAATGTATTGAATCAATATTTGAGGAACACTTCAATTGGAACGACAGTAACAATAACAATAATTACTAACATGATAAACAATGGTATCTTATATCTTCATCTCGATATTTTCTTCTAGTGTTAATTAAAAGAATAATCACTTAGGTATACTGGAACCAAATCATTTAGACACTTAATTAATCAAAATCTAAAATGTATTTATGCATACTTGTACGAGTAGCTGTACGAAGGTAGCATGCTGGTTCTCAATATACTAGTTGATTTATTAGGCCGTGGGCTGTTAGCCAAAATTATTTCGCTTCGTGGCACCCATGTGGGAAATACTTGGTTTGGGATTTATTTGAAAGGCATATAGGTACATCACTACCAAAAAAGTTCCCAAGCAAAAAAGTTGCCCAATCCCGAGAAAATGGGTGATTAATGATTATCTTCTATTAAATTGTATTACAGCAAAAAAATGGGAAATTCTGTATTCAATTACAATAAAAATGACTTGCATCATCGGAAAACGTACAAAAAACCGCATAATTATAAGACTTTTAAACAGTTTTTTGATTTTTCAATTAGTCTTTGAGTTCAAAAACACGTTTTTGACAGCGTATAACTCAAAAACAATTTTAGATATAAAAAACTGTTTAATATGTCTTATATGTAGGTTTTTGTAAGCTTTCTGATAATGCAAGTCATTTTTGTTGTAATTGAATACAAAATTTTACATTTTCTTGCTGTAATACAATTTAATAGAGGATAATCACTGATCACCCATTTTCTCGGTGTTGGGCAAGTTTTTCGCTCGGGAACTTTTTGTGGTAATTAAGCATCTATGGTTCTATGAACTGAACCACAGAAAATCTATTTCCCAGGAGGGTGCCACGAAATTGCTTTTCTAGGCACTTTTTCGCACAACAGCCCACGGCCTATATAGTGAAACTTTCTTTTCAGTATTGAACTGCGGTGGTATGTAAGGCATTTTCGGTATGCAATTGATGAATGCATTGCCTAAAGGCAGTTTTTCAGTCCTCGCACGAAGCTCCTCGCAGCTCGCTGCGAGTGCTTTCATCCAATTAAAATTAACGCGGTTTAGCATTGTGATTGGATGAAAGTGCTCATGCATCACTCGCAGCGAGCTGCGAGGAGCTTCGTGCTAGGACTGGGAATCCGCCTTAAACAGTTAATTTTAATTAGATGCAAGCACTCGCAGCTCGCTGCGAGGAGCTTCGTGCGAGGACGGGAAATCCGCCTTTAAGGAGAGATTCTCAATATCAAATTACGCCAATGCACACACAGGCAGCCCAATCTTGCAAGGGTCAGTATAGTAATTTATATTACAGTAAAAACATGTCAAAAAATATATATTTTAAAATCAAATTTACTTGCCTATTTGAGAGTGTGTGTTCTCTTTTTATTCCTTTTTTGTTTAAATTAATCATTTCCGAAACTTTGCACTTGCGGGTTGCGGCCGATACTGCCTACTAGTATACATACATGCGAGACAAACGCCTTTCGATCGTAAAACCGTCGGCACAAAGGAGGTGAATTTTCGATTCAAAGTGCTTGTGCCAACGGTTCGACGATCGGAATCCGTTTGCCTTTATCATGTATAATATATACTATAGTAGCGGCCGCAACCATCAAGTGCAAAGTTTCGGAAAATATTAATTCAACAAAAGAGGAATAAAAGAAGAACACACACCATCAAATAGGCAAGTAAATTTAATTCTAAAATATACATTTTATGACATATTTTTACCGTAATATACTTTACTATACTGGCCCTTGCAAGATTGGGCCGCCTGTGATCCACACAACGCGGGAGCTGGGACACCTTTTTTCCTCCACTTAAGAATGCTTACATAATGATTGTGATGTGTTTGTTTACTGGTTTTGATATTAAAGCAATAATTGCAGGTGTTCAGTTCGTGTTTATGGCCTTTATCTTAATGACATTGAGAAAATAAATGTGTTTCCAGTAGCGTCTTGCTCAGATATTAGGGAGCATGTTATAATATCAACAATGTCAACCGCATGACGCTCGAAAATATAAAGATAAAGATATAAAGTGACTATCGTTTATCATGTTAATAACTATAATTGTTAATCCTTTGCAAAAAGACCTTTCCATTCTCGTCACACAGAGTCCTTGTTTTAAATCCGGTTTTTTCTATTTCGAGTCCGGGTTTTCTGAAGTCAAGTCAGCGTTTTCTCAAAGACGACTCCGGATTTTTTTCAAAGCATGCCGTGCTTAAGTGTGTCATTGTCACTAATTAAAAACAGGTGTAACCACTTGGGCGACTGAAATGCAATATAGTACTTGTTAAACGTTGCGTTACAATCGCGTTAATTCTTCAGAAGAAGTCGTTCGATCGAGGATGGAATCTTATTATTTTATCAACCTGATATTCATATTTGTTGTGAACGTATTCTTCCTTTTCTCAGGAATATGTTTAAATTCCTTGGTCATACTCAGTTTCTGGAGGTCTGTACAACTTCGAAAGAAAATATGTTATTTCATGATAATGGTTTTGTCCTGTTGCGATTTTCTTGCAGTTTTAACTAATAATCCATTGATGGCCCTTATCTCGATGTTATGGTTGACGGGAAGGTTGAGTGTAAATGCTAAATGGGCTCATAGTTCCCCAAGATCGACAGGTATTTTCATTGGTTTTTCATTATACGCTCTTTTGGTGATGAATTTTGATCGATATTTGGCGACATCTTATCCTATCTTTCATCGAACATCGGTAACGAAGGGAAGACTTTTAACTCTTCTTGCAATACTGAACATCTTAGAAATAACTTTGAAAGTGATGACTGTAAACGACTTTGTTATTTCCGACCAAGTGCATGCTCTAGTTATTTGTATTCTCTTCTTTCCTGAAATGTTATTTTTCAACTACAAACTGTTTCTAGTCGTCAGAAAAAGTCGTAAAAACAAAAGAGTATCACCCGAAATTAAAAAGACGTTTTCTTTGAAAAATGTATCGAGTTGCTTGCTAGCAGTCGCTTGTGTTGTGGTGTTATCCATTCCATTATTCGTCTGCATTGGACTAACAATAAACACGACAGAGACAACATATACTTTGGATAATGCAACCATTGCAGAGATCTGGACTAGAACCATAGCTTTCATGAATTGTACATTCAACTGTTTAATCTTTTACTGGAAAAGCAAGGTGTTACGTACCGAAGGATTGAAAGTTCTGAAAAGCCTGAAAATATGTCGACGAATTGAATCCTAGCTGCACTTATAACTATGCTTCAAAAAATTAAGGCTAGAGGGAAACTCACCAACAATGTTTTGATCATAGAATAAACGTGAACACAACGAACTATACACTTACATTGTTCATCTATACAGGGTGTATCAGAAAAAACTGAACAGATTTGAAATTGCTCTCAATTTCGAAAAACAGCTCGTGGTATCAAGTTTTTGTTATATATAGATTCCTTGAGTACTCATAATGTAGAATAATGAGAAAAAATATTCAAACTCAAATTGTGTAAACCAGGGGGTGTTTCTTTTCCAGCAAACTAAAAATGGCTTGCGCACGAAATTTAAAAGCTTTAATCGTATCTTGAGTTAATGGATAGAAAATGTGTTGGGTTTTTAAATTACTGTACAACATTTCAGACCATTTGCTTTATTTTAAGCCCTTTACCTATTAATTTTTCCCTAAAAAATCAGCCTTTCGCATGCTTAATTAATGTCTTTACCTAATTTGCATATTGCCGACATATGCAATTAGGCAAAGGCGTTATAATTAAGCATGCAAAAGGCTGATTTTTTAGGAAAA